CAATGACCTGCTACTTGGTGAGCGCATTCCACTTATTTCTGGGATGGTGGATGATAACTGTGCTCCTCCTAACACTAGAAATTATGTAGTTAGGGTGAGCATTGCAAAACAAGTCTGCTAAGTGTAATTCTAACATTAAGTAGACCCTAATATCTGAGGTGTTGATGCTCTTAAGGTGGCCGATGGAAGTCATGCTGTTGCTACATATTAGCATAAAACTGCCACCTGGTATGTAAATATCCAATCTGACTGTATCAAGTACATTCCTGTTGTGTTGTCACTTGTAGAAGGGAACGTTTTAAACATGTATGAATGTAGATGTCTGACCTGGAAGGTAATATCGTTGCCCAACGCGTACTTCCTGTTGGCGATGTCCTTCACCTCTTGCTCTATGTTTTCCTGGGTGGTTCCCTTCACATCAATGTAAAAGCAGTCAGAGCTGGCATAGTGGCAGGAGATGGCCTGGAAAAACACAATATTTACTTGAAATGTTTACAATTGCCTTATAATTAGCTTTTTGCAGCATATGACCAATCACAAACAAGACAGGTGTACAAGTGTTTCTATATTTATTCTCCTCTGTAGAGGCTCTCTCCATCCATGGGTAGGTATACAGAGCTTTTATATGCGCAGGTGAACCCTGAAGTTACCCCACTTGAACCCTGCTTTGTAGTACAGGCCACAGGTGGATTATGGGTAGTGTAGTACCTTGCGGAAGCCCTGGGTCTGGTTCATGCCTGAGCCGTGAATCAGCAGCGGATGGAAGAAGACGGTGTCGCCCTTCTCCATCTCCAGGTGCACCCTGGGATGCTGCGGGTCGTAGCCACGCACTCCATGGTACATTTTGTTCACACCGCCCTGAGGGAAATACAGGAAAGTTTAGGTACCTATAGCAGGTGTTCTCATGTGTGTGTTCCTGTAGCAGTTGTTTTCGCAGGTGTGTGTTTGAGTACCTCCCACTCTGGGTAGTCGTGCTCCTTCAGCGTGCCGGTGTGTGTCCCTGGCAGCACCACCAGGCAGCCGTTCTGCCTGTCCACCTTCTCCATGGCCGTCCAGGCGCAGACGATCTTGTCTGTGGGGCGGAAGGGGAAGTAGTGCAGGTCCTGGTGCATCGGGTGGCGAGACGTCTTTTTCCCTGAATCAACAGTTGATAATTGTACTGTATGAGGCTTCCTGTGATGCTTACTGATCCCAAAATGACACTGCTGCAGCTGGTTCTCCAGATAAACAGAAACCAGATTATTGTAAATATTTTTTGAATAGCTGTATACCTGCATCAGGAGGTTTGTTGATGAGCATTGTATGCATTGCCATGATGTTGGGTCCAGTGAAGCACTCCACATACTGCAGAACCTGACATGCAAAAGCACATAACAGTTTAAATTATTTCAAATTCAAGCTGCTTTTTAAAGAAAACTGTTAATATGTCGTATTCGAATTTTGATTACATTATCATAGTAATATCTTTTTATTGGCACGTTTTTTTGTTGAAGAGCTGTAATCCTCTTTCCTATAGACTGTGGGTGGGATTTCAGATATTTCCACAAGTGAGCACCATCGTCTCAACAAAGTTGTTCTATGGATCTCTGTATAATATGTTTGTGTGTTTTTATACCTCTGGTAAGTTGCAGTATCGGAACAGTTCAGCATCTTCCTGGAAATCCTGGAGTTTGGAGACCGCTCTTTGATCCTGAACAAACTCTGACTTAGCGATGGCCACGTCCCTCATCACCATCAGACCGGGAACTTTCACTTCCTGCCGACAGATCCGTTCAAACGCACTCCTAAAGAACGCAGACGCACAAGAACCTTCATGCATCGGTACTATTAAAAGATAAACATTTGATATGTAATGTATGCATTGCCTTTTCTTAAAGAGTACTGAACATAGAAGGGAAATGGGAGAGATAGGGAACGACATGCAGCAAAGGGTCACTGCAGCAAGGATTGAGCCTGAGTATACCACCAGGTAAGTAATATGTCATTTCAATACAAATATACAGTATATTATTAGTTACGTCGAAAGTTCTCAATAATAGGTTCAATAAGTTTCCGATGGTCACCTGAACCTGTCGATGTCCTCTTCAGGCACCAGATTCTTGATGAGGATGAAGCCATTTTCTTCATAAGAGAGTCGCTGATCTGGGGTCAGCAGGTCGGTATCCCAGCTATATCTACCAAAGAGAGATAACACGCAACAATATCAATGTCTGAGGAAAGGTTAGTCTGTGTGTGTGTGCAAAGAGATCTGAACCTTGATCTGTTTAGTTACACAAAGCTGCTTCTAACATGAACTGCCCTTAAGCTGTTTTAGAAATAGGGCTTGTTTATTTGTTGAAGTGACTGCATCATCAGCTATTAAAATGCACATAGATAGCAGAAAAGTGAGAAATTATTTATTATTTATGTATTTGTCTGGGACGATGTCAAAACATCTGTATGGTTACAATACTTAAATACAGTTAGATGTTTTGCATTTAATATATCTCCACAATAGTGACATCACTATGTAACACTAGGGCTTCTATTGGCTAGTGCTATGGGGCGGGACATCTCTAATCACAACAGAGCCTACCAGCTAACCAAACAGAGCAGACTGGGCTCTGGTTTCAGACAGAGGGTGAAAAGAGGTGATGCAGCACAGGCAGTATGAGAGAAATAAAGAGCTTGTTGAACATTAAAGCATGTAAACATGTCAGAGTAGAGGCACAAAATATAAATATGAACCTGAAAGTGAGCATAATATGTTGTCTTTAAAATTAGGGGGTAGACTACCTACTCATAACAGAGTTCATTGTATACAGTTTATGGTCCTACCTGAGTCTCTGAGGGTAGCTGGAGTTGAAGCTCAAAGCACCAGTCGTTTCAGCTCTCTGAACAAACCAGTAAAGGAAACGAGACAGCAGCAGAAACAATTGACCTTTAAGCAAAGGTAGAATATAAAGCAAATAGTCTTCCACTGACCTAAAACCAGACTATCGTTAGCCTCCTGAGTTATTCTAAGCTATTATCTCCAACAAACAGATAGATAAATAGATACATGTTTACATTTCAACCTTTAGCCTACATACTGCTAACAGCCTCGTTTAAATAATGGCGTCATTGTCACAGTGCCTTTGTTATAAACGCTAAAAGACGCATTCATAAACAATGACAGTTAGCTGCAGAGAGGCCTTCAGTGGTACTCCCGTTCCCCGGTCTAGCCCACCAAAGCAGCCCACCAATAATGCTCAGTTCCCGGGTACTGTCTGCTCTGCGCAGCCCCCGGTGATCCCACACAGAGAAGAAAAGGATACGATGTCGGCAGGTGGTCGGTCAAGATGGTTGATTAGCAGTCTGAGTCTCTCCGCAGCGCGAGACATGTTGAATCGGTTTGTACCCCGTTGTGATCCGGTAAACAGCGATACGGAGCGGAGCTAGCAGGTGACCGGGCAAAGGGCAGACTGACAACAACCACTCCACCGTCACCCACTGCGCGTTATGAGAGGTCAGTAGGCTACAGAGGTGGAGGAAGACTCAGATATTGGACTTAGTGAAAGTACCAGAGTGTAGGAATACTCTTTTACGACTAAAGGTCCTGCAATCAAAATGTTGCTCAAGTTAAAAAAGCATAAGCATCAAATATTCTTAAAGTACCAAAATTACTCATTATGCAGATTGGCCCATTACATAATAGGCTACTATATTATATATTTGTATTATAATTATTGATGCTTAATGTGTTTATCAAAGCTGGTTAAGGTGCAGCTTGTTTAAATTAGTTTATGCTGCAAGGTGGCTTGTGAATGTGACTTCCTGCAAAGTAACTTATTATATTAAATAAATGTAGTGGAGGAAAAGTACAACACTTACCTCTGAATTGTAGTGGGGTAGGTTCAAGGCTTTTATTAGTCATACTCATACGTACATAGCTACAGTGTAGGCCTACTAGTAGTAGTAGTGGCAATACCATAGACTGTATATAAGGGAAATACATATTGAATAAAGTAACTACAGTTTTTATCCAGCAGGTGGCGCCCCACAAACATAATTATACTAAATGTTAGTTATGTAGTTATTAGTAATCGATTTTTTTTTCAGATTGGCTAATGGTAAATATATATTTTAAAGTAGGGAAGGAGAAATGAAATATTCATAACCTTCTTTTCAACTTAAAATATATTTTCTTTTTACCCACTGCTTAATTTTTGCCATGGTATTGTAAATTGTAGCACATAAACAACCATCTAATAATATACATTTATTTTCAAAATGAATCGTTTGAGCATATTTTGCTTCAAGATAACTATAACATTTAAAACGAGACACATTTTTAACCTTTTTATTTTTGTCTTATAAAGTGAAAGCCCTTCTAAAAGATGAATGAAGTATTTATTGTATGGTTAGTTTTTCTTAATTAAATACTTGAATGTCCAATATTTCATTGAAGGCTGACTGGAGAAAAGGAAAAACTGCATATTGAAACATTTCTACAATATTTATTGTTAGACCGCTGAAAATGTACAATGTTGCAAAGTTATGAGTTACGAGAAGCAGCATAAAGGGAAGCTATTTAAATAAAGATACCATTGTTTCGTGTATCTGCATTTCCTCCTGCTTCCCTCAGCTTCGTCAAGCTAACTTGAGTTCGCTTATTGGAGCGGAAACGGGTTGATCTCGTTTTAAAATTACACATGATATAATGTAATACTACGATGAAATACGTATACTATAGGTTTTTTTGTTTTATATAATTGTATTTTACTGAATTATTAGGGGTTTAATTACATCACATTCACTTGCTCCAGAAAATATATAAATGAGATACCAAAAACTACTACTGGTAAAAACTACTACTTCGATCCATTTATGCATGTGTATGTAGCCTATAACTATCTGTATATGGTGCTTTATTGACCTATACATATTTAAATAATTATTAATTAAGGCCTCTTTTGTTTTGAGAACGTTGATCTCTTAAATTGTGATGTCATAATGGTCTTATTTTGAAAGGGAACCAGAAGTCACGCTGCGTGGTGTGTGATGTCAGCTTGCATTCCCCTCCGGTGTCGACAGAGGATCCTCCTCCAGCCTCTGTGAACTCCTCTCCCCGCCACACAAACGACATTTTGGGGGTTCGGTCTCCAGCTCTCCTTCCTCACACCCCACACATTTCCAGGTGTGTGTCGGAGGATAATACCGTTTTTATCAGAGTGTTTGGGAACGAAAGCGACCTCGGACTGAACCGTGCTCCTTCAGTGGGCGGATAAAGCGGAGGAGGGCATCCGGGCCTGGCTGCTCCGGAGAGTCGACTTCAAACGACGGAATTCACCATTTTCAGGTAAATGGCGACAAATGCATTTTTGTTGATAACACCCTGGCTGTCCGATATTGGACGCTACATTTCGGGCAGGCCACTAAGTAAGTAAATGTCAATACAGAGGAAACCTCAGCTGAAGAATATACAGACTTTAGCTATTTTTTTTGTAATTGTATCTTTATCAATTTTAAAGCTTCGGTTTGACTATGTTGTACAGCTGGTGTTGTTATGGTCGCGCCTCACATATTAAACATGACATCTCCTACAGTATGTCGCTTTATTGGGTGCCAATATTTTGGTTTGTTTACCTCATGTATTAGCAGCCAGTCTTGAGTGCCACATTTAAATGGAATTTTATGGGAGAGAAGATGATTTCTGCATCATTAGTGTGATTTATGTGCAATCAATTAACACCAATAGGTCTAATGAAGGAATTTCATTAGCATCATTCCAGAAGAAGCAGCTACAAAAAGCCTACTGTAAAGTCAAAGTATGTAATTGCACTGCAGACACACCAAAGACATGCAAATAACCATCTTCATTGATCCCTTTTAAATAACCACAGACTCATGGTGTCAACACCAGACTCTACTTTATCACATGGATTTTGTAAATATAGTTTCATTTACCTTTCACACATTCAAACCAGCACATTAACATGTATCTCTAGCATGTGTTAAAACGGCTTCCTGATATGATTTTTATATCTGTTGGAAATGCATTTACAAGGCACACAGGGGATAGGGTTTGAAATTACCTCCTGATTCTCCATGCAAATTCAATATTGAATATTGCCTCTGTTTTTAATGAGACAAAACTATGTTTTTTTAGCCATCTCGTGTATGGTATTTCACGAACAAAAATCACCACCATCACTGTAAAACTGTGAGGATGAGTTGTTGTTTTTTATAATGGTTCTTACCACTACATTTAAACGTGTCAAAAAAATGATCTAAACTTGATACAGAATGAGTTGGCATAGGCAGTTGGTCAATCATATAATTCTTATTAGATTATTTGAATCTTTGTTTGATAAAACAGATAACTGTCTATAGTTACATGACCACCATCATCCTTGTCTGCCAGCAAAGCATCCATTCTAGCTTCTTTTTCCACTTTCTGTTTTGCCTGGATTTACTTCACTGCCCTTATATGTAACAACTGGTGTGTGTGTGAGCTGCGTGTGAGTGTATTGACCCACATTATATCTAGGCTGTGGATGTGGGAGTATGTGCGCAGAGGCGTAAAGTAGGCCGTATAGCAGCGCCTGTATGATCTGTGTCTGCTTACGTCATAGGTTACAGCAGTTGTGCTGTGAATATGTGTACGTTCACATATTTAACACACCTTTTTTCTCATGGGACTGATGGATCAGAATAGATACATTAAAGTGCACGTGAATGTCACTGATTTGTTTAAACGTCCTTGGTAGGAACACATCTGGCGAAGCCTGAGATTTGTATTACTATTTTTGTAAAACGTTTATTTCCATTACCACTGAATGATGGATTGTGGATTTGCATTCAATGTTAGTGGTGAGGCTGTCAGCTGAAGTCTTCCATACTGTATACTCATACTAACTGCACGAGCCCTGTAAACATCGTTGCAATTATAATTCAAGTTATAGCCAAACAAAATTAAATTTGTAATTTTAAGTATTTAAATGTTTTATCTGAGGTCAAAAGGCATGTTGTATCCCGCATGTTTGCAGCAGTTTTGAGCAATGTGGGATCAGCCTCCCAAACACTGTTGGCTATGGGCAAACAAGGCCGCAGTCCTCTTTTTGATCCTCCTGTTTACATCACTCCAACTTGTGCACTGTTTATTGATCCGAGGGTATATATATGTGTGATGTGTGATGCGTTATGAAAATGTGTTGGAGTTAAACCTGTTTCATCATGTTTCATGCTTCTCGTGTATGTGGTTGTGTTTCTAGATTTGGATTATTGCTACTATACATATTTAAAGGGTCTTTCCCGCCCTTTCTCATTGGCTGGGTAAATGATGAAAAGCCACCACTCTCCTGTTTACCATATCCTGTTTCACCTGAGGCGTTACATGCCAGTAGATGTAACTCATTGGATGAGGCTTGCTAACGGGCCCCTGGGCTGTGGACGTTTTCTCTCTTGCACAGGGGTGGGTTTCATGGAGGTTGAAGGTAGTAATTATTGGCTTTTTGGGTCTGATATTCTAGGGATCGAGGAATCATTGAGTGGTCGGGTGCAGCAAGAACCAACATTACACAAGTTTCATAGAACTATTACACACCACCCACACCACCACAACCACACAACCACCACCCACACACACACACCACACACCACACCACACACACCACAACACACACACACACAACACACACACACAACCACACCACACCACACACAACACACACACACACACACACACACACCTAAAATAAATTGAACCTGAGGTATTTTCATTACTTTCCTTCCATGTGGTGAGCATCACTGTAAAAATTCCAGTGGTGGTCGTTTCTGTACAGGTAAAGATGCTAAATATTTTCACACACACACGCCACACACACTTCCCTAAACCCGATGAACCCCAAACTTACCTTATTAAACTAAAATTTTTGAACCCCTATCAACAATCATAGGTTATAAAAGGAGTTTTAATGGCCCGAACCTAAAGACAATACCAGTGGCACAGGTGTGAGTGCCAGATAACAGTCAACTGTGATCTGGAACCGCTCGGTACATTCCCGTCCTACACAACTCTCACATCTGCCTACTCCTCTCAAACTATTCTTGCCAAGCCGTCTTCACAGGACAATTTCAATTCTTATTGGGCCTTATTCAGTTTGAAACCTTCAGCATGTGGGATTTCATGAAGGACACTGTAACGTTTAAACTTCCGTTTCAGTCAAAAACTAAAAATTATTTCCTTTTAATAAGTAAAGTCTCTGTTCAGGCTGGTTATCAATGCCTGGCAGGACGGGCGCTTTCTAGAATTCAGTGCCACAAACAGCTCGTGAAATTGAAACACTATCGAAGCCCGAGGAAGAAGGCCAGTTCCTTTGTTGTGTTAACTACAGCCATTAGAAATTCATTTTACAGAAGTAATTGCTCGATTGCTAATCCCTCAATTTCATCTGAGGTTTTATTTACTCCCCCAAGCTTCTGCTCTCACTGTCCCTAAGATTTCATTTCATCTCTTTTCTGGAGGGTCAGACCAATTCCAGGAAGGGTTGTTAGTCGCTTGCACACACTATAATCTGGTTTATAGGATTAGCAACCTGTGCCAGTGAAGCAGTGTAGTTCAGAAGACTCAGGACACCTACCTCAGGGAAGTCCCAATTTTTGGTTTGATCAAACTAAAAGGCCTGTGGAAACCTCCCGTGATTGTTCCTGGACCAACAGTGTAGCCTTGTCCGAAACGGGGTCTCTGTGGGATAAATTGAGGCCGTGGTTTGGTTCATTATTTGGCTGATGATCGGGAAGTTTTTCTGTAGAGATAACAGTCTATTGGAAGGACACGGCTGCCATTATTCACATAGCACCAAACGATAGGAAAAAGTAGAT